AGATTCAATGAAGACGAGGTGAAAATCTAGGACCAAAATTAGGCGTAATTTCAGTTCATTTTATAAGAATTCGACTTTTGTTTTTCTCACAAATGTTCAATTATTTCGGGCAAGATTTTTCTTCCAACAGCTAATATCACGTGTCAGTTACTGCCATTACATGGTAACTTCTTGTAATTTTACTCACCTACAACTGTGTGTGAATGTCTAGAAAGGTAGATTAGACAGTACTAGGCAAGATTAACTGTAGTGTTTAATGCAACAAATTTGCTACCGTGATCTAAAGCTCGAAAACACATTGTCAGATGGGAGCTCAGCCCCTTGAATGGTGCTTGGTGAATCTAATTTTTAACAAATATATATATGTCTAATGTCCCCTAGTTGAGTTGGGGTTAGCTGGGTAGTGGTGTCAATTGAATAGGTAGTTGTATAAAGGGCAAGCAGCACGAATACACGATACAGACACGGACACAATACAACACAGATAATGATACATGATTTCTTAAAGTAGGATATGGCAAATTAGTGATTTTTAAAATTTATATATATTATATATTTACTTTTATGCTTTTCAATATAGGACATGAAATACTAGCTTGAGAAGTGTACCTAAAGTATTATTCGAGCGTTAATTTTTTTTTTTTCCCCCTCCTAAAAGATGGGACATGGTTTTGGCCCGTCAAATTCATGTAATAAAATGTTGAGTAGTGTAAGTGTGAAATACAATATAATATGTATTGAACATAAGCATCTACCTTAATAGGAATACTCGTGACATGGAAGCTTGTAAATTGTAATAGCTCGCTCATGAGCTTGGGTCAACTTGGATTTCATGATGGGTTGTGCTCGTCTCCTTTGGTACACCCATCCCAAGGTGGGTTGGGAAAAGATTGGTTGAGAAAAGTTTACACGACTTGTGTATTATTGTTTTATTTTCGATCACATATTTCATTTTTTCTCAGACTCTACTAAAAGTATGATTTTAATCTTCATCAAACAAGGTTTATTTATTTTCACTGCACAAGTTTGAAGGCTATATTGTGAATCCCAACACGGCCCATTCTAGGGTCAAGCTATGTTATGGTAGCTCGCTCTACGTTGACACTATTACATCCTATTTTTTTGACCAAATCTATTTGAAAATTATAGGTGAACGTATTTAACTTACCAATATTTCATGCAGCTCATTTTTAAAATTGTGCCTAATCATCTATTATATGCTTACACTTAAGGATGATTACATGGGATGCGAATTATATTTTGTTTCACCACTTTTCAATTTTATTAAAGATTCACAACATTTGCTTACCATCTTCTCAACTTTTTTTATTGTGTTCTTATTGTGAATCTTTCATTAATTCTCTATTATGAGGGTATAAAAAAATTAATTAAACCTTATACTTTTAAATTAAAATTAAAAAATAATTATCATTTCAGAGGACGCTAAAGTAATGTTTAGACTTGAACTATCTCTAAGAACAAAATATATTAATTAATAAAAAATTAGTGCTGCGTGCACTAAATGTTGAAGACATGTTACAATTAAAAAGTTTTGCAATGGGATAATTATATTCGTACAACAATTTTTTATATCATTACCACATTTTAATTACAAGAAATGTTTCCAATATTTGCTCAATTTTACTTTTTTGTCCTCAACTTTTTTCTTGTCACATTATCGTTTTTAACTTTCAATTAATTAATATATTTTGTATCTAATCACGATTTTCATCCATCTATTCTACTAACGTGCATTAAAAAGATGGGCTAATATTTTGTTTAACTTTTGCATTAGTTATTTATTTTCAGTTATTTAAAAGTACGAGAGATAAATATGCCTTTTCTGCTCTCATAACAAATATTTTAGACGAAAATCGTCTCTATAAACAAGATGTAAAATTTAATAGAGGGTTGATGATAAAAATTTCAAAAGAAAAGTTAAGAACATAAGTGTAAAGGAAAGAAAAACATAGGAATATTCATTGTGTTTGGAAAATGGTATAATTAACAAATTATAGTGTGAATATATTTAGGGAAAATTTCATATTTAAGGTGATTAGAATATTCAATTTCAAAATTAAGAAATAACTTTTAAAACTTTTAAAATTAGGTGGGAATTAAATTCTATTAATTAATTAAAAAAATTATTAATTGGATATAATAAGATCAAAATAATATACAATTTAGTCACAAATTATCAAATTAATTGGTCACATATTATTTTTCAGTTACAAATTATCAAATTAGTTGGTCACAAATTACATTATTCAAATAATTGATCACAAACACTCTTTATGCCACACTTCACCACTACCATCGTACCAGATCCCATCGACTGTATGAAAGGACTATGGCACTATCCAAAATTAGATTGCATTGACTGTAGCTGTAGCAGCATCATCGTGCACATTCAAAACGAGATCCAATCGATTGCATTGTCATGTATTCTCATGATGTCATCTCTTCTTTTAACACAACATCGCAAGTGCAGCAGCATCACAGTGCCGCAACTTGACGTATTCCTACGACGTCATTTCTTCTTTTGACGGTGTTTTTCGAACAGGGTAGAGGTCGTGTGGCATGTCTGGGGTAGAGGTTCTCGCAATAACAACTGTCCTGGGCAAAGGCCGTCGTCATGCATCTTGCAATGTGAGAGTATCGCACTCAATGTTGCTTTCTTGCTGTGATACCGATCTTTTTACAATGGTGTCGATCTCACATAGGCACAAAGTAGAGAGGGTTTGTGAGCTAAGAGAATGTAAAGCAATGGAGTAGGTTTGTAAGTATAATATTCTTATTAATATTTAATAAATAAATTATGAATTAATCTACTTGTACAATGATGATTGACAATGTTTGAAATAACAAAATCTACACAATTTATTTAAAAAGTAGTTTTTTTTTAAATAAATGAATGTGATGATGTCAAATCATAATTGTCAACAAACTTTATCAACCATCATCATACATGTAGCGTCTTTCTTAAATTATCACTTGATTTTGAGTTAATTGTTTGTATACTAGCCGAACATTTATCATTGTCTTGTTTTACTCACTGAATTTCAAAATTTGCACTCAAATACTCATTGAACTTTGATTACTCGTACTCCATCCCTCACTCTTCCAGTTATCATTTCAAGAATAGTTTATGTGGCTAGACGGCATCATATGTGGTACTCGATGGAGTTAAATGTGCACGTTGTTGCCAATGATGTAAAAATATGTTTTAAAAATGAGAAATGCTATGCGACCGTGTCATTTAGGAAACGCTACATGCATCCCTCGAAGTGACAGCTTTAAAAAAAAAAAAAAAATGGTCATGCTGCACGTACCCCTGCCAGACCACACATCGTGGGCCCCGGTGCAAATTTTTTTTTTTTTTCATGTGGGGCCGCCTATGCAATGAGGGGTCGGTAATACCCCTGCATTTCCCAAAAAATCTTGCTCGATGTAAAACACACCTTCTCCTCAAAAAACGATTATCTTCTCTAGTTATAGATTGTTCTCAGAAAGGGGCAAATTTCAAATTTTTTCCTCCAAATCTCCACTGACAACCTCAAATATTAACCGCCCCTTGTATGAAATTTTCAACATCCAAACAAATTAGCAGTTTTAAGAGAATTTTCTTTCATTGCAAATTTACACTATAATCACCTGTTGAAGTGATGATAAAATTGTATTGTCAGATAGCTTATCTTAAATTTTCATTAATCACAACTTCTCTGTTTGTGATTGCTAAGAATATAGGTAATTAAATATAAGACCATACATCTTTTGCTATTTGGCATTTTAATCTATTCTGCTAATATGAGAAATCAGACCATACATCGAAAAATGGAACCCATTTCAAATTTTCGCAAGGGGGTTTAAAAAAAATAACAATAAAAAAAAACTTACCCGTGTCGAATTCGCCTTTTTGGTATCCCACCGATTCTCCTAGTACTTTCATGTTCAAAGCCCTGTGCCAAGGCTCCCAAAGATCCTTTCTTTCACTTAAGGGAATAAATACTTTAGGGTAGATGCTGTTTTGCTCGAGCGTTAATGTGGTGGCATCTGCGGTTGTCGTTGGAGATCTTGAGAGAAAAATGTAGAAGACAATTTGAAATTTGCCTCTTTTTTTTCTCCTGCCTTTATTTTTTACTTCTTTTAATAAGTGAATCCACTTTTCTTTTTAACGACCAAAAAATCAATTTCCATAATCACTATTGAACAGACCTTTTATAAAACATATTTTCCATCAATCATGCTTCATATACATCATATTTGATATTATTATTTACATTGCGCTACGTGACAACACAACATTAGCCAAATTAAAAATATTAATATAAAAAAAAAAAGATGTAAACAATGGAATGTACACTTAACATTATTCTTTTGTCATTGTTGGTAGCCTCATGTGCACATTTAACCTTGTCAACAATCACGTCGGACGTCATCTAGTCACGTAAGTTGTTCTCGAAATGGTAAGTGGAAGAGTGAAGGATGGAGAGCAAGTTATGAAAGTTTAATTAGTATTTGAGTACAATTTGAAGTTTAGTGAGTAAAACGTGACAATGATAAAAATTTAGTTAGTATTCAAATAATTAACTCCTTGATTAAGCAAACTTTACATTGTAGGGAAAATGCTTAACAAACAAGGTCAATGACAGAACATTTTCCATGGAATGAAATGACAGCTTTTGATTGATAATATTTTCTTTAAATTTTTTTAATTGTCAATGAGAAAATGTCAAGTGTATGTGTGTATGAAATCCTGTCATTCGTCTTGTCCCTGTAGCAGAATTGATTTTTGAATTGTCATATTTAAAAACGGGCTGGTGTGTAATTTCCACATATATTTACCCTTTGCAATATAACCTGTTAAAAATTGTAAAACGACAATTCTAACACTACAATTTATAATATCATTCACAATTGGGCTTTCATCCAGTCCACGCTGACTGTATTTAAATTACAAAGGGCGTAAATCCATTAAAGCCCAATACGATGGGCCGAAAGGCTCGAAACGTTATAAGCCTAAAACATATATCTTCCTAATCCACATGATCCAAAACCCTAGTTCAAACGAAGGCTGTGTAGCGAGCTTTCAAATCACTTGTTTCACGTCTTCGCTGCGTTTCGAAGATGAAGGTATTTCTTTCTTATGCCTGCAAATACTATATATATACATAAATTCTGATCTAAAGATATTTCTTTAGTACTGTTTTGAATTTTTGAATGTTTTGTAGTTCAACATCGCAAATCCGACCACTGGTTGCCAGAAGAAGCTCGAGATAGACGATGACCAGAAACTGTATGTTTTCATTTTCGATTTTCTTATACAATTTTAACGATAAACGAACTGAAGTCTGATTTTGGTTATTTGTTTTGTTTTAAAAATGTAGATTTGTTTATGTATTTGGTGAGATAAATAGGTTTATGTACTTTAATTTTCAATTATGATTTTTTTGCTTGCATCTCATGGAAAAGAAGTGCGATTTGGAAAATGATGCGGCGTTTATACCTGAATACTAGAGAATGTTACATCTTTATTGCAAGAGCTAATTTTCCACTTTGTGTTATTACATATCGTGTTTCTCAAATGTTTGAATCTAATTCTGTGAGCCCTACGTTCTGGACTTTTTTGTGCTTACATTGATTTTGTTCATTGCTATTGTTACGCATTTCAGGTGGACGTAGCTATTATTGTAACTATTTATTTAGCATTTTTTTGGAAGCTTATTTTAGTTAGCCAAAAAGAACTGAATATGGTGTACTTGTTATGGCATTTGTTCTAGAGCAAATCTTCTTTTTGCTAATTTTTCTAGAGTCGATTTTATCTAAAAAAAAAAAAAAAAAAAAGGGGAGAAAAATAACCTAGCAAAAAGTCTGTCTACATTTTCAGTAGTGAAAAATCCCTGTGCCTGGATTTTGCACTGGCATTGAGGTTCAAACAGTTCTGTTGAGCGGTGGAAGTGAGATGACAGAATGAATTCTGATGAAAAACTGCTAATAGTACCTCTTAATACTGACATTTATTAGACCCATTTTTTGTATTATTTTCAGGGTATATGGCATAGAGTAGACGTTGAATTTTGTTGGAAATTTAGGGGGGTGTATTCAATTGGGATTTTTAAAGACTTTGACGAACTTTTTTTTTTAAGTGATGACTTTTGTGGATTTCATGGATCTTTTATAGATTTGTATGGATTTTCATTTTAAAATTTTTATAGACTTTTGTAGTATTTTAAAGACTTTTGAAAACTTTCATTTGAAATATAATTCACGTTGATTTAGTACAATTGTGTGAAATTCTCACATATGAGATGTTAGTTCCCACAATTCTCTATTCTTTCCATTCTTCTTCCCATATAATAAAAGCATTTGAAAAAATAAAAATTTAAGACCTTAATTAAGTAAATAATAATAAAAATAATACATATATATGATTCAATATTATTAGTATAGTATACTTTTAAAAATAAATAATTTAATTATAAACTTTTCATATAAAATTTTATAATTTAATAAAAAAATAGATATTTTCCACAAAAAAATGAATAGAAAAAGAAAAAAGTTACAAGAATTCAATTTAATTTTTTCATAGAAAATAGAGATAAATAATAAGAGAGAGAGAAAAAAAAATATAAATAAATATGATCAATAGAAAAAAATAAATTTTAATCATATATGTCCATAAAATGTTAAAGGAAAGAAAGATTGAAAAAAAATTGTGAAAGTCTTCCAAAATTTTATATGAGTACTTTCTGTTTAAAAGTTAGAACTTCAGAGGCTTTGTAAAAGCTTCTAAAAGTGATTAAAATTTGAATATCCCTAGATTTATAGAGACTTTTAAAAAGTCTTAATTGAATACACCGTAACTTTTAGAGAGTCTCAAAAGGTCTCAATTGAATACCTCTAAACTTTTTAAATCCCAAAAAATCATTAAAAGTCTCAATTAAATACACCTCCCTTAGACTAAATTTCATTATATAACTGAATGACAGTTGCGTGTAAACTTTTACGTATGGTGCATTTCAATATTTTTGCCAGTCAGTAACTTATTTTGATGTATTCTGTTTATGTCCTATTGTACTTATTACTGCATGCTTAAGAAGCATGCAATGTTTAAAATTTGATTTACCCACTAATATGGAAAGAGGTTTACCGCTGGTATTGATATTTCAAAACTGTAATTGCAGCCGTGTATTCTGGGACAAGAGGATCTCTCAAGAGGTCAGTGGAGATGCTTTGGGTGAGGTATGAGCAAATACTTTTACATGTAAAGTTGACTTCTTTTATATCATGGTTATATAACTTACAAAGTGACGATCTCATTCTAATGTGGATACAACTACTTGTTTTACAGGAGTTCAAGGGCTATGTATTCAAAATCATGGGAGGGTGTGACAAGCAAGGTTTTCCAATGAAGCAGGGTGTGTTGACTCCTGGCCGTGTTCGTCTCTTGCTGTCCCGAGGTATGTGTGAATTGTGATTGTTGAGCTCTTATAAATGGCGTCGTGATAGTTGATCTCTTCTTGAGGTAGGACCGTAAGAGAATATTTGTTTGAATAGGTACCCCTTGCTTCCGTGGGTATGGCAGGAGAAATGGAGAACGCAGAAGGAAGTCTGTTCGTGGATGCATTGTTAGCCCGGATCTCTCTGTTCTGAACTTAGTTATTGTGAAAAAGGGTGACAACGATCTTCCAGGATTGACTGACGTTGAGAAGCCGAGAATGCGAGGACCAAAGAGAGCATCAAAGATCCGTAAACTCTTCAACCTTTCTAAGGAAGATGATGTAAGGAAGTATGTTAACACGTACCGCCGAACTTTCACCACCAAAGCTGGTGAGTTCATAAGCCTTGATTTTGTGGTTATTAATTATGTCATACTTTGAAGCTTGTTCATTTTTACTTATATAGGAGTTTTAGATACGTCCAAGGTTGTAAGTTGTTAAGGGGAGTTGAATTTTGTATGCTCGTCTTTTGACAGGTAAGAATGTGAGCAAAGCTCCTAAGATTCAGAGGCTGGTGACTCCCTTGACTTTGCAGAGGAAGAGAGCTAGAATTTCCGACAAGAAGAAGAGGATCGCCAAAGCCAAGGCCGAGGCTGCCGAGTACCAAAAGCTTCTCGCCTCTAGATTGAAGGAACAAAGGGAGAGGCGTAGTGAGAGCTTGGCAAAGAAGAGGTCTAGACTCTCTGCCGCCTCCAAGCCATCCACTCTCGCTTAAGTTTCATCAGAATGCAATTCTTATTTTTGGCTTCTTGTTACTTGCTGCGATAATTTTGACCTTTATTGAACTACTTTCTTTGTGTACTGTTCCGTTGGTTATTAAATATTTTGACGTGTTTATTAGTGTTTGATCAGTTTAATATATGGTTAATTGCTGTGTGTTTCCTTGAGAACGCTACTAACACTTTGCTTTTTTTGCTGAATAAATTCATGTTCAGTGTTCCCGTCTTGATGTGGTGCTATTGAAACCCAAATTTTTCATAGGGTTGTCTGTTTTTGAGCTTTGTTTGTGCTAAACACCTTGAAAATTTCACCATTTTTGTTATTAAAGCTGAAAACTTCGGTCCAGATGACATGACTTTTGTTTCTGCTTCATGTAAAAGAGCTTTTGGAGAAAATTATTTTCATTTTTGTTTGGAAATTAACTTTTAAAAGGAACTAATTTTAGAAATGTTTTTAGATGAAATCACGTTGGATTAACTTTTCTAGCTAAATAAACGTTTTCATGAAGTCGGTCAAACTGAATTGAAAGTTATTTTTGAGTCTCAAAAGCATGGGCCTTTCATCATTTACCTATCATCGTCTTGTTCATTTGATTGCATATGTTTGTATTTGTTTTCTTCAGCTCATTGTGTATCTAGGAGCACGCATATCATATCAATCATGCTATAAAAACATAAAGTTTGATAGAATACCGTGTGGAATTATATCATTGGACAATTTAAATATAAGCAATCTATCCATCCAATTACTTTCTTTCACATGCAATTATGTCAAGCTTGTTGTAAAAATCTTCTATCAAAGATGCTTTATCCTATATCATATGTTTACGTACTCAAAATCGAAATTGATGCATTGATTCTTTCTTTAACACAACAAATGTTGATTCCCTTAGATAATGGCATACCAAACAAGTCATAAAAGACTTTGGGTGTGTTTGATTATATTTATTTTCCATGAAAAATATTAGTTTTCCACCCAAATTTGAACTTGGAGTGTTTGATTGATATTTTTTTCTTGAAAAACATTTTCCAACTTTTCAAAATATGCCAATTTTCTTTGTTTTTAAGGAAAATATTTTCTTTGGGTAGATGTGATTTTTATTTTTCATAAAAAATGGAAAATATTTTCTTTTTTATATGATATTTTTCATAACAATCAAACATACTCTTTGTGTGTTATACTTGAATAATGTACGAGAAACTTTGAATAACATAGTACATAGAGGTTCGAAGAAATACAGAGTAAACCCTGAATTTGTTTTTCGCATAATTCCAAAGAAAAACCATCCAGATATATCGACAAGAACAATATATGTTGACAATTTCTCAACTTAAACTTGTCAGCTAACTTCAATAGTTGTTTACTGCTGTTGTATCCTTCAAGTCATCAATTAACCCCTCCAGTGGCCGGCCATTGATTACCCTACAGTTCTTTCTGATTTCTCCGGGTCGACCAGATTGTAAATCACCCAATTTAATCATCCCCTCGACGAAGGCCTCAAAGAATTCTCTCTGATTTCTGCTGAACATTCTCACATACTCTCTAGTCTTTGGATGAGTAAACAACGTTTGATCGGAATTAAGAAATCCTCTCCCATTCACTAGGTCCTTAAAATACTGGTTGTCGAATTTCTTTGGGGTGGCATCCAAGTTCCCTGTCACATTTCCATCTCCTCCTAGTGGACAAAGCTTATCTAGCTTCTTTCTGAACTTCGGTTCAAAGGCAGGGTCGGGTCTTCCTGTACCTGATTGATTATATAGTCGGTGGACTATAGAAAAGCACCTTCCTTTGCCAATGGAGTGAGAGCCAGAAAGGGCTACTAGATCTTTGACAGAGAGATTGAATCTGCTGAAGAGATTAATGAGAGAAGTTGAATTAGCTCTAGGACTTGGCATTATATCGTCCGAATCTTTTTGGCTGGCCGTCAAGCTATCTCGCCTACCTAGTTTTACTTCCCAATTAGGTCCTCCACTCTGGTTCAAGACCCATAAAAGAAAGAAAAAAAAGTTAAATTTTCATTTATTGTATTGTCTAAGCATATTGAGTACTGTATAACAAAGCTTACTAGAACAACGGCGTCTCTAGCAACCATGATTACGATATCAGCACACGAGACGACACCTGGACAGGCATCCTCTAAGGCATCCTTGACTTCGTCAATAACTTCGAATGATCTTAACGAATTAATATTCGACAAAGATAACTTCTCCCCAAGCATGTATGGGGTGTCATCAAGCAAAATTGAGCCATCACACCCCTACAAGACAAAAATCCAAGAAAATCCCATTCAAAATCTTGATTGAACTAAGAAATCAGTTTTCTCATATCAGCTGGTTTTGATGTAAGAATTACATTAACTAAACAATCATGGAATTGCAAGCGCATCACAGATGCAGCACTTCTTGTTTCTCTAACCATGGCCTTTTTTATCACATCCCGAACAATAAATTCGGCGTCCGGGCAGGTTTTTGAGTAAAAACCGGGTCGGAGTGGTGTCCCCGAGGCAGCGATGTCCAAGCTAAGGAGGAGGAAGAGGAGGAGAAGGGTGGAGGACATCTTGAGAACTGGCTTGATAGGTTTTTTGGATGTTTAACAGGCTATTTCTGCAGTCTCTTAAAATTTATTTTTTGTATGTGAAATGTGGGATTTGTGGGAACATATTCTTTGCAGTTTCAAGGGTAGGGTGGAGTGGGGCGTAGAGGTGTAAGCAATTTATAGGTAGCGAACAATATCAGGCCAATAAGTGTGGTTTGTTGTAGGGTGATGAATTGATGACCACTTTGTCTTTCTATTCTCTGATTTTTTTAACCACCTTGACCCACTTTGATGGACTGGGATTGGATATCCTTGAAAACACTATTTCCAATTATACCCTCTGGAATTTGTTTATGAAGGGCAATAGCAAAATTGCTTTTCTAGAGCATCAATTTGATCTCGTCTGCTTTCTCATCTTATCTTTGTCAGAAAGGACAATTGGGATGGGAGTTGTTTTCTGTAATCATACGAACACTGTACAAGCGGTTGGGACGATGCCACGGAGATGCTCTTTTGAATAAGAAAAATTCGAATTAATATCCAACAAAGAAGGCATCTAAATCGCTAAGAATCTAATTATACAAATTGATTCGGTGTGTCAAAAATGATATATATGGTATCGAAAATTTCAGTTCTTCATATGCCAAATACCCTTATTTAGGATGACTAGTAACGTTATTGTGAGAGATTAGTTGTGGAAGTGTGTAGCTCTTGCTTTATTCTTGGTTCGAGAATAAAGTAGTCCATTATCTAACTGTAAAGATTAAATCACTTAATAGGAAATTAACAAACACAAAGCACAAAGTAAGTTAACTATTAGATAAACAGTGGAATTAATCAATGCACGTTGAAAGAACTTCCCTATCAAAGCTCCAATGATTATTTGGTACCAAAATTTATTGATCGAGGCTCAGATTAAGAGTTGAAAACGACACAGCAACACCTTCCAAATTGGACCAAGATTACCCACTAATATGGACCACAAAGGATAACCAAAATTGGCCAAAGTAACTGCGCAGAAGCAACACCAAATGGGATCAAAACAGGGGTAGAATCGGAGGCATGAAGCAGCGCACTAAAGGTCACAATCCAGCCCAAGTTGCCAATAATGAACGGACAGAGAATGAACAAAGACGGCAGCCACAGAGGCCAGAAATCACGAAGAGGAAGAGCCAAGAAGAGGCACAGCCAAAGTCCAAGAAAAGAGGAGAAACCATGTGTTATGTGAATAAATACAACGGAGACCCAATTACATATGCAATAGTGGAAATTACAGATTCTAATAGATTAAAAATTTCTATTTCATAAATCATAGGCAAAGTTTAATCTTTTAAAAATCAGAAAAAAATTTTAATTATACAAATTTCATTTCAAAATCCTAATCAATTTATTTTTCTCTCCATCTCCCTCTCTCTCTTCACAACCTTTCTACCGGCACTTTTCCTCCTTTCCCTTCTTCTCTCATCCTCAATCTCTATCTTCTCTCCCTTTCTTAAATTACGGAACCATCCTCATCAACGGCGGCAAGGTGCAGTGGAGTGAGGCGGCACTTCTCGTGGCTCAACGAGGCGCAACGAGCACGACGCTGAATCTACCCTATCTGCTTCACCGCCTCGATTTTTTGGGTTTTTTTTATTCCATCTATTGTGTGGTGGTGCTAGTGGTTGTGGCGGGTGTGGGATGGCATGTGAGATGCGATTTGGTGGAGGTTATTACAAATTGGAGTTGAAGAAGAGAATATGTGTTTGTAGTTGTTGGTGGCAGCGGCAATGGTGATGGTGTTTATGTGGTGGTGCCTGGGGGTGGGCAGATCTAATGTTGAGGGCGTGTGTAGTGTCAGGCATTCACAGCGCTCGTGTGTAGTGTTTTTGTGGTTTGAGTTACTCTGTTGATGGAGACTAATGAAGTGGCAAGAGATTTTGGATGGTGGTGGTCATGGCAGTGGGTGTGGGTGTGGTGGTGAAGGTGAGATGTTGGTGGCCGAGGCTGTTGAGTAAGGTAGATGTATTGATTTGTTTGAGACAGCAATGTTGCTGTCGGGTAGTGGTGATTCTGGCGATGACGATGACAGTGATGCTGTTAGAGACGATGGTTGTCGCAGGTGTTGGTGGTAGTCACAAATGATTTGGTTGATTGTGACCATTAAATTGTTTAATCTGTGATCAATAAACAATATGTTACCAATAAAAAAGATAAATTATGACCAAGATCTAATGTATAACCAAAAATTATAATAATTTGTGACCTACTAATAAGTTGTGGAGACGACGATGAGATGGTGGTCGTAAGTGTTAGTGGTGATCACAAATTAGTTGGTTGACTGTGACCATTAAATTGGTTAATCTGTGACTGATGAAAAAAATAAATTGTGATTGAAAAATAATGTGTGACTTGAAAAATTGTTAATATGTGATCGATAATGTATGACTATATAATAAGTTATGACTTGTAACATTTGTAATTTGTGACCAATAAATAAATCGTGACTAATAAGTTTTTCAATTTGTGACCGATGAACAAATTGTGACCTATAAAATTTTTTAATTGTGACCGTAAAATAATTTGTGATATAAATTTTTTAATTTGTGACCAAAAAATAATAAGTGATGAATTAAATCGTTAATTTATGACCAAATTATATAAATATGATTTTTGAAATTTGAAATTTGTTTTCTTGTTTTTGAAATGTGTCATACTTATTCTCTAACTTATGAAATTTTCCCTATATAATATAATAGGTCAAGTGGTCAAAGAGTAATGGGTTTGGCCCATTGAGTGGTCTTGGTTCATTTTTGTAACTTGCGCTATCAAGTGTGATTTTTTACCCAATAGCATTTAAGTGTATTCAATTATAATAATTAAATTTAGTATCCATCCCCGATTATTCATCATCGCCTCGAGATTCATTTGGTATCAAAATATCCAACAAATCTCTATCTTGATGCCAAATATACCTATAAAAAGAAAAAACAAATTTAGTAGTCGCACAATGTGATTTTAAGCAAAATTGAAATGTCACGTATTTTTACCGATGTTTAGAAGTGTAAGGAACTTCTAAACATTACCAGGGGGAGCATCTTAGTACCTATGTCTGCAAGGTTATAATCAAAATCCACTTTGTCAAATTTTATCAAGTTTTTAGACATTATACTCCTAATAGAATGCAATTTAACATCTATATTTTTAATGCGTTCGTGCAACACAACATTCTTACATAAATGGATGCTAGATTGATTATTAGATATACTATCACAAATCTTATAACCACAAAGCTTCTCTTATAGCTTTAATGACAGTAATATACTCAGATTCGATAGTAGATAGAGGAATAATAAATTGGAGTTGAGACTTCCAACTCACAAACGAGTCACACAAAGTAAATACATAAGAAGAAGTAGACTTCCTATTATCTCTATCACTGCTATAGTTAGTATCTGCACCCTTTAAGTTTAACACTCTACGCAGCAGACTTATAAATTGACCCCTTACCAAAAGTACTCACTAAACAGCTAAGCAACCACTTTAAAGCTTTCCAATGTTTGGGCTTAGGATTAGACATATATCTACTTAATATACTCATAGTAAAAACTAAATCAGGTCTAGTACAAACCGTAAGATACATAACAGAGCCAAAACATTAGAGCAAGGTACTTTACTCATAAAATCACTTTCTTCATTTGCATGTGATTGGTCTTTAGATAATATAAAATGGTTTCCAAGAGTCACAGAAATAGGTTTGCAATCAAGCATGCTAAATTTCTTCAAAAATTAGGCATGTAAGGAGTTTGATGCAAAAATAAGCAAGAGTTAGACCCATCAGTGTTAATTTCCATCTCAAGGATCCTCCTAATATGTTCTAAGTCTTTTATGTCAAATTCTTCACTCAAATCAATTTTTAATCTTGTTTACCACAGTCATATTAGGTTTAATTAATAGTATCTCGTCCACATAAAGTAACAAATACACATACTCTTTATTAGTGCTGTGGTACTGGTAATACAAGCAATGATTAAACCCACTCTCTTGAATCCAATAAATAACACATAGGAACCAAACCTTTTATACTAGTGTTATGGATACTGTTTTAGCTCATAAAGAGATTTCGTAAAAAATATTCATGATCAGGTTTAGACTTACTTTCAAAACCTTTGGGTTAATTCATGAAAATCTTTTCATCTAAACTACCAAGTGAAAACGTAGTTTTGATGTTAAGTTCAAGTTCCTAGTCATCGTAAGCAACAAAATCAGGCATAACCCTAATAATGAAGTACTTAACAATTGGCGAAAAGATCTTATTATAATCTAACCATTCTTTCGACGTGTAACCATACTAACCTAGCCTTATATCTCATAGGACCACTCTTAATAGTTCTCTTTTTTATTTTATAGACCAACTTGCATCCCACTATGGATTTATTCTTAGGTCTAGAAACTAAATCTCAAATTTGATTCTTCATCAAAGAACTTTTATGCTTCACCATCGAGACTCACATAAAGCCTACGCGCCATCCCACAAAAAGTTGGCCATGGCTCTTCTACAATAGGATAAAATTCAAATACCTGACCCTTCTCGTCGAAGCGGTTATGGTTTGAAGGTTCAATCCGAGGTTCGTTCATGACCCACCTTCTTTGAAGATATCCTATTCTTAAAACCTTTTCGGATGATTGATGTATCCCTCAACATAGGTTGTAGAGTGGCTGCCTCCTTTGAAAAGCATTAAATGCGCTACAAGCTAGTACGATCAAATTAATGTCTAGGATAGGATGCTTCGGTTAAGGAGATGAAGTTACGGGCCTCCTTGTCCAATAGGCACCATTTCACATTTAATACTATAAATACCCTCTCCATGTATCATTTAAAGGGTAATACAACCATGTAAGTTGAAAACTAGACTTCATGTTTCTTTGTACTTTGTCATTCTCTGCTATTCGAGCTAAATGTTTAGCCTTAAGTTTATGTGTTCTCAATTGTTTTTTACCATACAATCCTAATTATATACGTCGCCAATGTCCAAACATTTTTAACTTGTGTTGTAAAAATTTTCCCCCACTCAAACCTGAAATGTTTAGTGTTCACGAAATATTTCTTTCGATTTAAAACTACCGCAATTGTATGAATCGTAACAAGTAATAAAGTGAATTTTTAAAAGTTCGAATAT